CGTTTCTTTCTCCAAAGGGTTGCAAACAAGGGCGTCTCTCTACTCCGGGACCTCAGTTGTCCAGCTCAGTACTCCCCAACTTCTTCCACCGCTGCCGATCCCGATCTTGTTCGACTTTGTCGCCTTTGCGAAACGAAAGCAGGAAGAGTCGAAAGAGAGAGAGGAACCGGACGCGGACGCTCGCCTCTCTTTCTATTTCCTTCTCGCTTCCCTCGGCTCCCGTTCTTGTAGGCTCCCGTTCCCGATCGGGAGGACGCCAGGTCCCAGACTACGCCGACTCCGAGCCACCGGCGCTGCGTCGGCGTCGGCGTCGGCGTAAAAAGTTACGGCTCGGGCGCAAGCTCGCCGGGAGCGCGCCGTGACGCGCCGCGAGGACGCCTCGGCGAGTCCGGGCGCGCGAGGTAGAGGAAGATTCGCGTAGAGAGGGGCAGAGAGATCTCCCCGTAACAGCTGATCGCGCCCGCGGCTCGGAAGAGAGGGACAGACCAAGGGGCGGGTGGTAGTAAAAGGAGAAGAATTAGAGCGCGAGCTGATAAATAGAAAGGGAGACGACGAATTCTCCCTCCCGAGGGGGAGGGGGGGGGGGAGCGAGAGAAGAACCGGAAGCGAAGAGAGAAATCAACCCTTTCGAAAACAGAAAAAAAAAGATACTTTAATAGTTTAATAGAATAGAAGCAGAAAAAGAAAAATACTAGTTTAATAGAATAAGAACAGTTAGCGTGTAAACCGCCGCGGGGCAAATTTGAATTACAGTCGGGACGGTAGACGAGGAACAATCCTAGCACCGGGGCCACCGACTTTAATCAAAGCAAACTTTCCAAAGTAGCTAGAAACATTTTGCCGAAGGAGGTAAGCGGGACGCCGCGTCGTCAAGTAGAATGAGCCTATCCGGTCAGACCGACGAAACGCGCGACTTGGACCCCCTTCGACAACACTAGGAAATAACACGAACATGAAGAAACAAACGTTTCATCGTTCTATTTCTTTTGTTTAAAAAATTACTTCTCCACTCATCAACTGACTGCCATTTCTTCTTTCAGATTCTAGCTTGGTTATGAACTTCGAAGAAAGAAAATTCTATTAAATGATTTCTCTGTTGATCAAATCGTCGTCGTGTTTGCACTTTGATAAATTGTAGTCGGATCGTCGGATTCGACAGGGAGATCGAAATGAAAAAAGAAACAGAGAGAGAGAGAGAGAGAGAGAAAGAGAAAAGGAAAGAGTAGGGGGAAGAGCTCGTAAACTCGTAAGCCTCTATTTATCCGACTCGTTTTCGTTTCTACCTGACTCTTCTTCGCCAACTATCTACAGCCAGGACCACCTCTCTCCCTCCCTTTCTCTGCACGTCTCTCCGTGTATTTTTGGGCGCTCGTTAGGAATTAGCGCCGTGCGACTCGAAAGGGGGCTCCTCTAGCCGTACGTCCTCCCCTTTCTACTGCGCGCGATCAGACACGGCGGAGGAGCGAGCCGTGGGTGTACCGAGGGGATCAACGTTAACTAAAAGCCCGATTACACACGGCGTACATAGAGGCGGAAACGACGCCGCCGCCGCGCGATACGGAGTTTGTCAACAATCTTCCACCCGCGCCGCCCCCGGAAAATAGCGACGCGGCTGGAACGGCGGTAATCTCAATATCGCGGCCAAAGCGGAACAGAGATTAGCGTGCCCCCTTAAAACTACCCCTCGCCCGGCGTTTCGTGGCAAAAGTTCGTAACTGGCCGTGAGACGACACGGCTTAAAACTTTCCTGTCTGACTACTGCTACGAGGATTCTCGGGACTGTGGCCTCGCTCGTTCACCAGCTTTTTACCGGAGATCGTTTCAAGCTTTTAGCCGGCTGCGACCCTTGTTTATGAGCTTCCTCTTCTCTCTCAAATATATCGCCGACTCTGTTTAGCCTGCTTGTTTTTTATCCTTCGTTTCGTGTTACTCTCATTCGTCGATTACTTGAAGTTGAAGTTTCTTTTCCTCCCCCCTACCGGGTTTTTGTTGTCGTCACTTTTACTCGTTCGCCGCGCTCGAAGCGAGGAGGTCGCGATGCCTGGTGGCGCGGAAAACTCGCGAACTGCTACTGGTGAACAGTATCGGCGAGCGACTGAGCTCCACCGGGGGGCACCCTTCCCCGTGGAAACGGGAGCCGCCGGCGAACGTGACGGATTCCACGGCTCGAGGGGGCCCTCGTTTCTCGCTCGACGTGTTGCAGACTCTAAGGCGCTTTTCGGGGAACGACACGATCCCCCCGTGTCGAGAGTTTCAATTGACAAGTTGAGCTCTCCGAGAATATCAAGATCCTTTAAAGAAATTTAAATCAAATCCCGAATGAATATCTTTGACGTGGGCTGTAGTTCACAATGAGAATGTCAAAATGAATTATTTAAATTACGAACGTGAAGCGAACTATAGGTGAACTTTCGCAGACGCGAAACAAATAAATAACGACGAATAGAAAATAAGTCGCGATGACTATTATCATTGAGCCAAAACATTATGTATATCAAACGCTTACAATCCCACGTGTACAAACTCATTATCAAACAGTGTACATTCGGTATATTCGTTTGAATGACAGTACGTGTTAGGAGGGTTTAATGTTCTGGATGCTCGAGGTACGGGGGCGAATCACGGTCTCACGATGATTCTTCTCGTTTATTTGTATTTACATTAGTATTAAATCATATGGATACAGTGATTCGTAAGATAAATAGAACTTTATAAATGCAAAAAGGAATTGCACGCTTTATTCATACACCACCAGTAAGTTTCGGTTTTCCTCGTTTCGAGAGAAAGAAACACGGGAAAGGGTCGCGAATATCGTATTTCGCGGAACTGCGCGTGCTGAATTTAATACCGTTAAGGTACTTACGGTATTATGTACGTCAGACTTGTTATTCATTACACACACAGCTGAAGATGACAGTGATTACTCGATAAATGTATATTCATGTTCGAATGAATGTTTTTTCTTTTTTTTTTTTCTTTCTTTTTTCAAAAACGGACGATAATAGGGATTGGCGTGTTTGGATTAAAAAGTGTTTGGAGTCAGTTTAAAAGATTAATCCGTTAAAATATCGTCTGGCTACGTATTAGCCAGATTGATTTATGGGCACTGTTACTTTTAGTGACCTGGCGTTTGCGATTATTGCTATGTTGCTAACACTTTGTGTCCGTGGAATTAAAACTGAAACAGAAAATTCAGCAGTTTCAGCAATTTTCATCGACGTTCATCGACTACGGTTACACCATAGATGACTGACCCTTTTTAGAAATTCTTCCGCACAAATGCGAGCTCTTGCATTCATGGACAATTTCATCTCGCTGATCTCTCTGTCAATTTCTTCCATGAAATAAATCACAAAGTCTACGATCTTGTGTTTGTACATTTGTTCTACATGGATGTTTGTAATTAAAAAACTAATATCATAACCCTGGAAGAATATGAAACACATTACACACGTTGGTTACTTGTACAATTGATTTTTCACACATATGATACCTCTGACATTTACCTCTATTGGCTTCCTCCTAAGAATAATAAAGTGCTCCGCTCTCATTGTCATGAATCTTGTAAAGTTATGACAAAGAAGTTTCTCCAAATCATCGGCCTGCTTCACGGCAATGCTTATTCTCATACTGTTTATACTCGATTCGATCAACACTTTCTCTTTATCGTTTCTGCTTATTAGTATCGGTGTTAGAAGAAGTTCTTTACTAGCTCGCACTTCAACTTCTGGTTTATTGTGTTTCTCGACTATCTGGGAGGAGAAGTTCTCCAAACACATAGCAGCAGTAAGCGTTCTCCTCACTGCTGCCAGGTAAGGTTTCAGCGTTCCTGACTGTAACAAAAACATGAACGACAAGTAGCTTGCAACTTCGATGAACAAAAAAAAAAAAAAATTCAAACGTCATCGTTACAGCGAAAACGAATTTACGTTTTTTTTTTTTTTTCTGAAACTAAATCATGAAATTACGTTCGTCGTTTCGTTTAATAATATCTCGCGTTCGAACAAGAATATATCAAACGGTAAACAGAGATTCGATACGGAAACATCCTGTCTGACTGATAAAGAACTTATCATCTCGAGAGGCACTAGTTACTATAACCTATTTCCTCAGACATCAAGGACTAACGCTTACCATTATCCGACTACGGCTGTACCGCCGCGAGTGAACACACCTCCAACGTAGATACTAGACGCCAGCGAGTAATATCACTTGCAAATTACAAATACATTCTTACAAAACTAGGAAATTGTCTCATCACAAGAACCGAAATCCAAAACCCGGACGTAACAATGGTGGCAGCGGCAAGATACGTTGGGGGGAGATATCTCCTTAGGGAGGGGCATCCTCTTATTGTCAGTAGTTCCATCTGCTACCAGTAGATGTCCATGATTTCCTCGCGATGATTTATCAATTTGTTTTTCTTTTTACAAACTTTTACAAATTTTTTTCTTTTTTTTTTCTTTTCAAAATTCCGTTTCCATTGACATGATGCACAGACGATCTTCGCAACATAACCTCAACGAAAGAATTCGAATGTACTTCCGCGCCATGACGGCACTCTTACGTATATTCCCTCGCGCTCTTTTGAATTTACGAATTTTGCAAGAAAACAAATAAAAATCGTATCGATGAATTTCGTTAGACATGTAACGTATTCTGCGCGGTGAATCATCGCGATGCTTTTATACGTGCGTCTGCATAAAATTCCTGAGGTGTGTACGTGTAATTAAATACGATGACTACCTACTACTAAATTTTACTCTGTATGAATCTCATTGTCAATATCTAAGACTCGTTAAATATCTTACGTACTGTTTCCAATATTCTTATATTTTTATTATTAATTATACGCAACACGTACATATATAACTTTTCTTTTTCATAGAGATATTATGTATAACGATGACAAGTTGTATTATACAAAGAACGTTTGTTTTTGTTAAAGAAATTCATATACGCCGGTAAGGCGAAACGATCACGCTCTCTGGTGTTGATCGTAGAAATTAATCGAATCAAGTCGAGATACGCAATAAATACATGACAAAACAATGGTACATGACAAGATTAAGTAGATTGAATCTCGTGCAATATGGTTGTTTGTAAATATTATCGGCAAGGAAATTGTCGATTTGGACAGTATTGTCAATTCGAACATATAAATACTTTTGGTAAGATATGAAGTTCATCTTAACGTAGGAAATTGTATTCTCACTTTGACATTTAACCTTTTGCTCTTGTAGGAGCTAATAACAAAGTTGACTCGTACAATGAAGATGAATATATCGTGTAAGTATAATGAAATTACTCGACAAAAACACAAAGACACGAAATTAGTGTAATTTTTATTGTTGGACAAGGGTGTTGGTCGCGAAAGAGATGCTCAATGCAGAAAGAGGGGGACAATGGTTACTTTCGTGTTTCGCACCACTTAAGGACAAACCGTGCATTCCTGGCATGGAAGACTTGTCCCCAGAAGAAGTCCGATGGGAGATGTATCAAGCTCAAAATAATGGAATGGTAGAGCAGGCAGTTAGTATATACAGCTATTTGTTTCTGTTGTAATATTACTATGAACTCTTTTGACACTTATATTTTTGTGTCTTTTTCAGAAATTGCATTTCCAACAACTGTGTAGAGACATGAAAGCAAAGAGGGATGCATTTAAGAATCCTACTCGTGAGACATTAACCAAGCTTGTATGTAACACAATTAATATTTTTCTCTGTGAAGTTGCCATAATTAAAAACGTTTTCTTTTCTGTCTTTTAGAAAGAGCTTCTAGGAACAGGACACAAGAATACCAGGAATGACAATGCGTCTGGAAAACCTTCCAGCTTTGCTTTTGCAACCCCTCAACTCGGACTTCCAAGCAGCACTTCATCCTCCAATGTATTTGGAAATAAAACATTTGGAAATCAAAGTAATCCGTTCAGCGGTAGTTTCACCTCTACCAGTAACACGTCGATTTTTGGGAGATCAAGTATAACTTCCAATCCTGTATTTGGTAGTACCCCAACTTTTGGCAGTAATTTAGGAGTGTTCAGTGGCGGTACCAGCACTAACACTGTATTTGGTGGGATTACAAACACTTCTACATTTAATACAGGACAAAACACGCAGACTTTCGGATCGTCCGGCTCGATTTTCAGTGGTGGAACGTCCCAACCCGTTTTCGGGCAGCCTAGTATATTTGGAACCAACAATCAAGTGAACAATGTTTTCGCCAGGCACCAAACGTCCCAAACGCCGATTTCAGTATTCAATAGTGGGGCAACATCATCTTCCTCTTTGTTCAGTGGCACTTCCTCTCAATCTAACGCTTCTATGTTTGCCGGAGCTAAAACTTCAACTGCTAATCCGTTTAGCGGGTCCTCAAATTTACAGACAACCAACTCCATCTTTGGATCGACTCCATCTACCGGGGCCTTCAGTTCACCTGGGATATTCTCGCAGCCTGAAACACCCGCGTTCGGAGGAGCACCGGTGTTTGGCGGTCCATCGACCTTTGGGAACAATTCTAGTTCAATATTTGGCGAGAAACCGACATTTGGAAGTTCTAGCAGTATCTTCGGCGGATCCAATGCCGCGACACCTGCTTTTAGCTCCGCACAATCTACAAACGCTTTCGGCGTTACCACCTCTACACCTTCCGGAAATATATTCGGAAACGCTCAAGGTAACACACCCCCTATGTCAACCTCCAGTGCTTCGCCATTCGGCGTAACATCTTCGACGACTACAAGTCCTTTTGCTACCGCGGTCTCGCAATTCGAAGCCACCAGTACAGCAGCCTTCTCCACGTTCGGAATGAACACGGGGACTGCTACCACAGCCAGTACCTCTAGCACACCGTTTGGTACTACAAATACCGGAGTTACTTTTGGAACATCTAGTACCAGCAGTTCCCCTTTCACATCGACGGTATTTAGCGATGTGAAAAACTCACCGTTTGGTCCTAGCGTTACATCCACAACTATGACCACGAATTCGTTTACACCGCAAGAACAACAACAACAACAACAACAAATAACGTCGCCATTTGGCACTTTTGCGCAAAATCAAACTTTTAATACTGCTGCTGAGAACGGACCGTTTGGAAAACCGACATTCGGAGTAACAATGACAACAACCATTATCAGCGACGATGTTTACTCATTGGAGAATCAATTAACGGATGATGAAAAAAGCATGTATCTGGCGGAAAAATTTACTTTTGGAAAGATTCCGTTAAAGCCGCCTACCAAAGAAATTAGTTAATACAACGAGAAACTTATTTAACAGGAAATATATGCTGTGATATTGGTTATTGTTCATATATAATTAAAACAAAACCTGCGAAATTGTAATAATAAATAATGTATATTTACCAACAATGTATCAATTTTTTGTATAAAATTCGACGAAATATTCTATGCAACTAATTGCGAAATAAACTGACGTTTTTGAATTGTAACAAAATCTACAATAATGCATAAAATTTGCGTTGTTACAGTTTTTACAAACTTATTTTTAATGTCATTCATTGCTCGCCTTATATTGTAATACAAAATCAAACATATCATAATATATATATATATATGTATATATATATCAATATATATATATATGTATATATATATATATATCAATCTCTTTTAATTTAATCAATTACACAATTACCTATTTACATATTTACAATCGTCACAATAGATAATGAGACATTTTTCATACTTACATTATCCATATTGTATTATACATATTGTAATGATAATGTAAGTATGATACGTTAAACTACATTCGTACTTACATTATCATACATTCTTGTAATGAATCACTCCAGGAGGAGGTGGAGGAGGAGGAGGAGGAGGAACACTATTACCAAATTGACTTCCTTCCGATACCTAAGAACAATGTTTTCTGTTTAATCCGAATTCACAGAGAATACTATACGTTTTAATTATTAAACAAACCTGTGGTAAATGGCAGAGAGGATTCGTTGGATAGTTGGTCCTCTGTGTATAAGGTGCAGATTGATTTGCCTGCGATAAACCTGGTGGTATACCGTTTGGTGGCTTATACCCAGTGATCTAACAAAATAAGTATTCAACAATTATTCAACATTCAATTCCAATAGGCAAAACTTCTAATCCTTTGTGTTTTTAATTATTTTAATTATTTTAAAAGCTACATTTACATCTCTTGATTACAAATTTAGTATTATCAATGAAACATTGTTTCACAAACAATTTGAAAACAAAGGATTAGAGTGTCTAAAGAGTCCACATACTTTGTCGTTCATCTCTGGAAATATGGTACTTAAATTGAAGTTGGTTAAACTCGTGCCAGATGGATGGTGGCCCATAGTCATGTGATTGCCAGCGACGATTCCTCCTCTTGGCATGTTTGGATTCATTGGAAAACCGGCTGTTGCTACCGTTGGTACACCTTGAGGACCAGCTACCGATGGCGGCGGTGGCAAGCCATTTACCGCTTTAGTATACACATTCGCTTGCGGATGGTTCTGATAAAGGGGGCTAGCATGCGGTGGCGGCGGTGGTGGTAAAAATGTAGTAGAGTGATGATAATCCTCCAGTGGTGAATTGATACCAGACAAAGGAAACTCCAAATTCTGCATGGTTCCTGCATCCAGAGCTTTTCTCTTTCCTTTTTTGGCGTTCGTGGGATACGACCTCTTGTCGCAATTCTGGTGCTTGCCATAGTGTTGATGATTCTTTGCGTTCGTGTTCACGTTTGAAGCGGAGGTCGTCACGGTGGACGTGGATGACGAGGAGCTGGTCGAGGCAACGGTCACGTTCGACAACAGAAACGCATTCGCTTCCATGTAGTCAGTGTTATCGTGCAGTGGCATCATATAGCTGGTAGGTGTGTTCGATATACTGGTTATAAAATTCGAGGTGGGATAAATGTTGGTATTAGACGAATATGTGTACGAATTAAAGTTCTGATTCACCATTTGCCCGTAACCGCTACCGTCGTCCGCGTTTGAAAAGTAATTGAGGGGCATGACTGCATCGGCGGTGGGCAGGCTCGTTTGGAACTTATTTTGCGAGTAATTCGTAGAGAACTTAATCGAAGCGTGTTTGTCCTGATTCGTGTCATGCACGCTATTGTTAGTCCCTATTAATGCTTCAGCAGTGTAATTACTCTTACAATTCCTGCTTCTCCAATGAACATTATTCTGTTGATACTTTTGTTGCTGTTGTTGTTGCTGTTGCTGCTGCTGCTGTTGTTGTTGCTGTTGGTATCCCTGTTCAGGGAAGGTATGCCCAGACGATTTTTGTTCCTCGTGCCTCTGATGCAACTGATCATTACCTGATCCTTGTTTCCGGATATCCATCTGCCTCTTGCTATTTCCTCTAGGACTAGCATTGCTTTTTCTCTGATGCTTTCTAGCTTGTTGCTGTTGCTGTTGCTGTTGCTGCTGTTGTTGTTGCTGCTGCTGCTGTTGTTGATGTTGATGTGCATGGTGATGATGGTGGTGATGATGGTGATGATGCTGCTGATGATGTTGCTGATGAGACTTCTCAGCTTTCTCATGTTCCACTAATTGACTCACAGAGAGGAAAGAGGATCCGGCCGTTGGATGCTGAACAGTCTGGTTATTTAATACAGTATGAAAATCACGCCCCTCTTTATCCTTGATAGTATCTTTACTCTGATCAGATGGAACACCTCTCGAGGACACTTGACTAAACAAGAAGTTCTGTTTCTCGGGTATGTTGGTACCTAAATCTAGATCACCGACCAACGTTGGAAGACTAGAAGGAACGATGTGCTGATCTATACCCTTGACTGGTTGACCCTGTTCGACGTGAATGCTGGTTTTCGTGGGGGACCAAGGGAACGGTTGTTCCTCAGAGTAGAACACTTCCGAGGTCCTTTTCGGCTCGCTTTGCAATACCGGTAAATTGGAGAAACTGTGAGCCGCTACATCATAATTGTTATAAAACTGATTCGGCGTTCCCTGATTGTAGGATGGTGTCTGAGCAAACAGATTGTTCTGACAGAATTCCAGCTCCTTTCCAATCGGTGGTAAGATGATATCAGCAATGTTGGAGTTATGTTTGATCTCCGGTGTCATCATCCAATTTACAGGCGCTCTAACCGCGTGCTGCTGTTGATTCCCCTTCGACTTTGTCGCGCTTTGCTGCTGCCCATGCTTTCCATCGTTGTTGTAAGTAACGCTGTCATGTTGCAGAGGTGGAACCTGTCCCTGGACCAAGGACTGATACTTATTCTGACTTTGCTGCTGAGATTTGTCCGGATACTTGAAATTTGAGCTCGCATAAGTCTCGACGGAGTACTTCATTTGCGTGTTAACCTCGGACAAATCAAAGTTCACTTGAGAATCGTAATTAGACATTGGGTAAACTGTTTTATCTTGCTTTGCCCCCATTGGCTGATGATTTTTTGGCCCGTGCGGCTGTTGCTGCTGTTGCGACTGCTGCTCCATCCCAGGATACTCGTTCTGAATATACTTTGATTCCATTCCGTACTTGGACTTGTTTTTATTCTCCGTGTTGTATTTGTTGTAATCGTTATTGTTGTTGGAAGAGGTTTGATTCTGCATACGGCTCTGCTTGCCAGACGGCGGTGGAACGTTCGTCTGGATGTTCCTAGCTTTAGAAGGATCCACGAATGATTGCTTTTGCGTTTCCATTCCCGATTTCCCCATTCTTGGCTTGTCCATGTTAGCCATGGTGGAGTTCACGGAGAAAACGTCGTTGGTCAACACGTTGGAGAAATTTGGATTCTCCTTGTGAAGGGGAACGTAACTATAATTCTCACATATCGTTTTTCCCTCGGTGTTGTCCGTTTGGCTTGATCCTTGCTCAAACTGCACCAGATTATTGTTATTTCCTCCGCCAACAGGAGAGAAGGTCGTCCACGACAAAATGCTGAAATTAGAGGAATTATGAGCAACGGTGGTTGTCGATTTTGCATGATTCTCAGTGACAGTACTCTGCTCGTAGTTGGATGTAGCCACGAAGGACGTTGACTGTTGCGAGTAACGTGTAACAGGAGTATTCTGAATGAGAGGTTTGTTGTTTATGTTGTTGGAAGAAGTAGTGCTGATCTTCTTGGTATCCTTGTTGGAATAAGCGGAGTAACTCTGGGTCTCCTCCCTCTGGTTCTGATACATATTGTCGGTGCTCTGATTCAAGACACTCTGCTCAGGCTGACTGTTCATAGACTCCTTCACACCGTAGGGAAACGTTTGAGCAAACGGATCGACATCCATCTTCTTTGTCGAATTGTAATTGGCATCACGCCTGTGACCTTGTGGTTCTTGATCTTGGTCGACGACATTGTTACCGGAGGAATCAGCCTCCTTGTTCATTTTCGAGTAGCTACGTTGGAAGTGATCCTCGGACGAGTTTGATATCGGATCCTTCTGCGGCGGGTAATTCTGATTCCTGTTGGACGTGGTTGCGTTGCTGCTCCCTCCTGTCGAGTACGTGTCCTTTCGTGGCAGACTTTTATTCTGATCCACCGTGTAGTCATTGTGGGAGTTGTGAATGATGTGATCTTTCTCGTGAACGGACGTGTAACTCTGATGAGTATTCTGTTGGGTTGTTAGAACGTGACTGTCCTTAGGCTGCGACTCGTAAACAGTTTGCATGGCTTGAGAAGAGAGAATTGGCAGAGCCGCTTCTTTGGGTCGCATCGAGTACTCCTGTTGAATGTTCTGAGAGGAAGTGGGAAGAACTCTGTCTATGTGGCCGGTGTAGTTCAAACGATTATTGGGAACTATGTTGGAATCCACCAGGGGATCCTTCCCGTGAACACCGTAAGCACCAACGCGAGAGCTATGAGATTCTTTATCCTTCATCTGAGAAGTGTAATTCATTTGCATTGTTTGCAAAGGCAACGACGACGTATTCGTCGTTGTATTGCTGTTTGACAAATGAGAAATCAGAGACGCTTGGGACACATCGGGAACGACGTTCTGACCCAATCCAGACGGATTTGTTTCCTGAATCGTCGAGCTGGTGCAGTCGTTTGGATTCTGCTGCAGAGTGGTCAAATTGTTCTCAACGATGGTCGAGTAACTCGACAGAAAGTCCTGAGACGTGCTGTATCGAACGTTGGTGTCACAGCTTGAGGCTTGCACGGGACAATTATTCGGATCAGTTTTACTTGAAATGGACACCGCGTTGATCTGAGAGGCCGTGACGTTTTCGTTGGTAGCGTTTGCGATTGGATTTCGTAGATTTGTCGCGAGTTGTTGACTCGGGCAATTCTCTCCCGTTTCTGGAGCATTGATAATTGATGTGGTACCCGAGGTGCTTGAAATGGAATACAGAGTCGCGTTGGAGAACGAATTGGAAGGTGCAGATTTCTCCACAACGATCTTGTACGGCTCCCTAAGAGGCTCGTCGTTTACAACTTTGGGCAAAGCTTTCGTAGTCGTGGCACAGTCCACGGAAACCATGATGTTCGAGGACACTGTCTCGCTCGCTGGTGGATTCATCGACTTTTTCTCCTCGCATGTTACTTTCAGCCGTTTCTCGGCGATGGAGGAGTGAGGTGGCGACGCTGTCTTCAGCTTGAAACTATTCGGCTCCATCGCACCGATCTGCAGAAGCATGGGCGGAGTCTGGCTGTGATACTTGAAGTCCTCTTTCATCTCCTCCTCCAGAACCTCTGTTTTACCGTTCAGCGAAGACACCAATGGAAAAGCCATTAGGAACGCAGCTGTGGGAGATATGGACTCTGGATTGTGCGAACTGGAAGGTACCTGAAGGGATGCAAATATGTCGTTTGAAAGGTCAGAGTGAAGACCGTCGGCTCGGCTACCAATCGGTACGAAAGAATTCTCCGTGTTGTACGAGAGCGAAGATTTCGACGCTTCGTCCTTTGACGTTTTCACCAGCTTGGACTCGTCCTCCACTATACTGCCCGGCAGCAACGACGACGACGACGGCGCGGCGATGTCCGGAGTCTGAACCACGGCACTCGTTTCTGGCTTCAGTGTTGTTGTGGTGTTTGTATCTAAATTTAGAATGATCTTGTTATTTTCCAAGTTGGTTGCATGTTGGGCAATCTCTGACTCTTTCGGCGCCACCTGCAACAGATTGTCGAATTCTGTATCCAGGTTGCAAACATCCTTCATCTTTTTAGACGCCACCGAATTTTCAACCGCTTTTTCTACTTCTGTCAGAGTCGATTTAGAATCAGAGCGGTCGACGCTGTTGCCGGCCGACTTTTCCAGTGTACTATCTACGGGAATGTTAAAGTCAGTTTCAGAAGAAACGGAGACGCTTTCGTTGGAAGATTTCAAATGTTCGTCCGGGAAGGTAACTGGAGACGTTGTATTTGAAATTGACGAGTCCTGGCCTCCTTTCGTCTCGCACTGAATGCTGTCCGCTGACGTAAGAACGTCCACCGACTTTGCAGAGTCGGAAGCATCCTGCTGATCTGTACCAGTGGAACCTAGCAAGGCAGAGCATTCTACGTTCGTTTCACTATTTTCCTCCGACTCGTTCAGACCGTGACTTTTATCCTGTTCTTCGTTCGTTTCCTCGCCTATCTTTTCTATAACGTGCTTCAAACTTTCAATGGACTTGCAGGTCACAGCAAAGTCTGACTTCGACGCAGGTACAGTACTCGCTGGGCTGTGTTCACGGTTTTCGTTCATCTTTCGCTTCTTTTCACCAGGTTCATCCACGGATCCAGCTTCCGTGCTGATAGGACGTTTGAGTACAGTTTTCTGCGTAGAATTTGCATCCTCGGCATTTTTCACTGTTTTTTCTTTGTCATTCTTTTCGTCGATGGTTTCTACAGATTGCTGACTTTTCGAACTTTTCCCGTGACTTTTGTTGGCCTTCGACTTAACTTCCGTCTCTCTCTTCGATCCGTGCTCTTTGGATTTCTCCGCTTTCTCCTTGTGAACCGCCGGAATAGGAACTTTGTACGTCATCGTTGTTTTCGTCACTTCCTTGCCCTTGGGCAGAATGCCCTTGTGGCCGCCTATCTTCGTCGCATTGATTATGTTCTTCACATTGGATGCCCAATTCTGCGAGTCCACCACCATGTTCGCGCGAATGCTAGGGACCGTGTTGAGCGTGACCTTCTGAACCGTGTTGATCACAGCTTGGTTGCAAATGGAAACAACCGGATTCTGCACGCGATTCGTCAACGGCTGCATCACAATCATCTGATTCTGTTGGCCGTTGCCGAGAATTATAGGATTCGCAGGCTGCTGCTGAGTATTTACAATTATATTCGACGTCATCGGAGTTACCAAAGGCATTAATTTACCACCGGATAATATAAGGGTATTCGGTGTCAGATTAGTCACGGAATTATTTATACACGATGCCAATGATTTCTTTTCTTCCTTCTTCTTCGCTTTTCGTTTCACCTTTTTCTGAGATTCTACTTTTTGTAATGCTGAAACGTTATTCTATGTCAGTGAGAAAGTTCAATTTGTGATTCCTTTATACCTACCGTTGTTAGTCTTCTTACTCAATGGACAAGTGACTGTCGCCTCAGAACCTAATCAACAAAATAACGAGGCATATTTCAATAGCTCGGGGCAACTTGCAAAACTAGAATTAAGAAACAACATTTACTTGTATTCACTTGACAACGTTCTGGTTCTTTGGATCCTGCGTTCGATGCATTGTCTGCTGATTCTAAATTATCATCGTTGCTATTCGCAGAATTTACTTGATTCTCCTGATTTTCTATGGAACTGTTCACATCCTTGGGAACATTGTTACTTTCCACTGACTTTTTACTAGACGAATGAGAAGTAACTGATTTTCTCTTAGAAGGCACTTTCAGTTCTGCAGACTTTTCTCTCTTGCTTTCAAGATTTTTTACTGAAATCAAACCATCCTTGTAAACATCTAAATTCATTTCTCATCTATCGTCAATGCTCCTCGCTGTACTTACGTTCTTCTATTTTGCTAAAACACTTCTCCGCGTCCTCTACGTTGATTTTGTTCGACCATTTCAGGGGAGATAGTTTCTCAAGAGCTGGTTCTGCCGGAACAGAGATACCAGCCTCTCGCAGAAGGGTAGACAGCAATTGCGTACGAGAGAAAAGCTGAGTCACAAGTTTCTTCAAACGAGCCAATTCCTCCTCTGTCATGCAACACGCATTAAGAAAAAACAATAACCACGTCAATTACAAATGTTATTTGAGATAAAGATAAAAAATAAACAATCATTTTCACTAATTGATTATTTGCACTGAAGAACAACTTGGAAGAAGTTTATGCTGATAACTTTCAAATCAAATAAATCATTTTCAAATAACAAATTTTATTTGAACGAATTCGCTGAAATAGAACAACAAACAATCCAACAGCAAAAGATGAAGTGTAAATAATAGAATCAGAAACTATTTGAGAGATTATTTGTAGAAATAAATATAAAATGAAACAATTTATTACTTTGTTCGACAGTCGAATAATGAAATAATAATAAATTATTTTAATAGAATTATTTCGAGATTGTATCAAACCAAGATATAAATAATCATATCTCAGGTATTGGGAAATGTCTTTGCCTGGGGACAAGTTACCAGACAATTGTCAAAAAAACTCGCTTACTATGAGCCTCAGAAGCATGGGCAGAGAACAACTCCTCTGTACGACTATGGAGGTCTTTGATGTACTTCGATGCGTGAATCAGGATGTCGACCTTGTTGCGTTTGCGACCCTCCTGATGTGGCGGCAAGAGGTCTGCCAGAGTTTTGAAGTAAGCGTTCATACGTTTTCTTCTGTCTCGCTCCCATGTTTTCGCTTTGCTAAGAAGACAAGTAGTTTCTTATTTTTTCTTTTTTTTTTTTTTTTTTTTTTTTTTTTTTTTTTTTTAATCTTTCAATGGAAACACGGTTGTTTGTTTTCGTCCAAGAGAAAATGACGCGAAATGAGAGATGCGAGATCTCTCAGAGGCGAGAAGGTTGGTTGAGGTTAGAAATCTGGTTAACAGGCTCTTACGTGTTCTCTTTTCGAGGCATAATTTATTATCCTCTTGGCATCGTTTCGCGTGAAGAACGCACCAGTGCGTCACTTGTAGCTGACATTACACACGTTCGTGGATTCCCGTCGGATTTTTGACATTTCAGCCCTTCAGCTGTTTCGGTCGCGGAATACGCGAAATAAAAACTGTCGACTAGCCCCGAATGGCAAAGTGATCATTTAAACCTGCCCGCCCTCTATCGATTTTCTTCATGCGTTCTGCATCTTCTGTATCAAATATCGGTATAGTAGATACCATTGTTTTCTTTCTTGTCAACAGTTGGTATGTTAAGAGGACTTGTCGATTTCTATCTTACCCTCGTGTACTCGAAAATTGTCGGTAAAATCACACGAATTTAGAAGTTTGCGATTTATAACAGACCTCGATGTATAGATAAACAGTTTATCGCACAGATATAATTCTTCCTATACGAACTATTGCCAATGTATTTTAGGATTTTTCAAACGAAATCTTTGACGAAAAGGACATCTATTGGAATTATCTCAATCTTTAATCAAATTAATTTAATCAGTCAACGGATAGTAATCTCTCTCATTTTAGTTTTCATCGAGCGAGTTTTGTCGGTCAGTAGCCTGCAAGATACACATGCACATGTAAGTGCATTCTCATCAACCTGGTATTTTGTTGACAGGAGGCGCTAACAGATTGTGCAATCTCGATGCGTTCGCCGGACGGCGGAATAATCCTGAAGATGCGTCCGAAGCAGAATTGCACGTAGCCACAATGCGAAACGCATTCGAATGTCAACACGTGAGAGACAGGCGGACAGACAGATAGACAGAGAGAGAAAGAGAAAGAGAGAGCCTTGAAACGGTCAACAATGCAAATCGCCAATGATAAGTGTGAATAAATGCGGAATAAATGTAGCTGCGGTGTGAAACTTTAAAAAAAAGCGATTAATAATAACGCGGAAGGTGGGACAGAAATAACGTACGCGAGGAATAATTTTTGCGCCGTTGGTATAGCAAGTGTTGGTATAGCGCCGCGGTCGTTTCTACAAGCAAACGTGGCAGCGTAAATATTTCGAAAAATTGAAGACGCGAAATCTCGAGACAAGAACCAGAGTTGAGTAAAACGTAATACGAATAACGATTAATGATTAACGTGGAATTATCATAATTAGAAAAATCGTTGATTAATGAATGAAGGAAGTAATCAAAATCCAAGGATTAGGTTAGAGATTAATTTCATAGTCATTAATCAATGACTATATTTTTTATTACGATTGTAGCAGTAGTTTATTTTCATCAATAACACGACGTATATTTTGCAGGAACTTCATATTTGTGCACGATTCTACAATTTTATTAGCACCTGGCCCGAATATTCCAAAAAATTAGCGAAAGTTTCATTTGTATAGTTTTCGAATCGTTAATTGGCACGATTTTCCGCATGACTCGACGAAGATGAAGATAAACTTGCCGAACGATTAAAGTTTTCAGATTCCTCACGATGTAGACTTGTTTTTACATCAAAGACACATCAGATACAAGAATTACAAACAAATTATTATAAATTCAATACGATACGGATACTGCTATACAGCGAAACAGTATACGTAGATATTTCCTCTAATGTTGGTCAACTAAACTGTAAGTGATTTCCAATAATAACATTTAGTTACATCAACGTATAATCTACATGATTAACGTTCGAGCGTGTTATAGCAACGTGAAAAATACAGATCTCTTATAATTAAGAGATAATTTAAAAATCATCGATTAATGATTGAGAAAAGTGAATCAAAAGTTTGCCAAGATTAACTTTCACTAACGACTAATCGATCAATGTTCACGATTACTGTAATTACATTTAACAATTGTTTAATTAAATTACCAAAGTTTGCCGATTTGTTTTAACAGTGATTGTGATCGATTAATTATTGCGATTGGCAATTGCGCGTGATTACATTTAGTAATTGATTGCAGAAGTGATTGCAAAGTGACTGATTGCTGCCGAACTGCTGCCAGAGGACGTAGCCGGACCTGTCTCGCGGCATACATGTCTTTTCCACTTTCATCGGCGCGGCTGAAACGGTCTCTGCGCGCGCCATTTATTTGGCAACGCCGCGCCGCCGCATATTTCACTGTCAGCCTGTTTACAATAAAATTAACTCCTGCTCGTAAGGAGTAAACAGAACACGAGATTTCGCTGGAAGGGACGAAAGGGAAGAGGAGAGAGATTCAGCGAAATGGGAGAGATTTGGACGCCATTGCCCTCACGCGCTTTATCCGAGAAAGTTAAAGCGCAGCCAGCCTCTGCACTCGAGCATGTCAAACAAACAAACGCGCAATCAACTTGATCAAACACATCGCACGGTATCTGAAAGAAATTTTCCAACAATGTTGCAGAGTAGCCTCTGAAGATTAGCAAGCCACACGGTATCGCTACATGTTGATAGAGTAGCTGATATGAAACTTAATTAAGTCGATTGGTAAACAACGCTGGAAACGCTCCTCTCGTATCCAGCACGCAGGTCAGAAGAGAAATAAAGAAAGAAAAAGGAAAAAAAGAAGAAGAAGACGAAGAGGAGAAAACAGGACGTGATTTACATCGGATGCGTAAGTCTAGACGCTAGGTTGAAACCAGAAGACGGCTATTAACCGAGGCTGGATTGGATCACCTCGATGGCTAGGGGGAATATGTATGTACAGCTGGCAGCGAAGAATCGCGATTCGCAATTATTCAACGGTTAATCATCGTGGCGGCGTTTATACGCACGGCCCCGTGCGAAACTCTGCAGCGTAGCGCGTGCGGCACTAATTAATGATTTAAGCAGCACCGAGTTTCGCGTGTACGCACTCTCACGCGTCTACGTTTACGCTGGGCTGTCTCCAGGGGCCCGTGGCCAAGGAATGCGCCGGTATAATTACGTTCTCCTCCCGTGAGAATCATTTACGCAATTAACGGGCTCGCCTTTCAGGAAGCGCCCGCGTTTTCTCTTATTTCGCACTAACTTTGTCTGCCTTTGCATTTATAGATCACGGTAACAACTGCGTTGGATCTTCTTATCTGTCTGGGCTCTGTGCACTACGTACGCAGGTGTATTGTGCGTGTCTTGTCTTTCGACGACTGCGTGGAGCGCAGAAAGAGGAAACAGAGCGGCGGGAGTTCATCGACGGCCTTGAGCGATCGATATCGTATAGAATTCAGTCGCAGGTATGACGTCTACTCCTTGGTGTTTCGTCGATGGATCCTAAAGGATAAGTTTAAGTTTTCAGCTGCTGCCGGACACTGTAGACACTTGGATGCCGTGGCGTCCTACACTCGTCCGTGCCAAGATTCAATTGTGCCGGTAATTATGAAAGGAATTTAAAGAAAATGAGTCCATCAGTTATCTCGCGTCGCATTCTTTTAGAATAAACTAATCTGATGTAATTTCTGAGAAGCTGTGATGGTTGAACCATTGAATCGAGTTGGTTGTTTCACAGTATAAAAATATTTTTTAATCCACTCAGACGCAGACCTTTAAATATCTCGAAACGAGAAATATATGACTTGGGCCACTTTCATAATCACTGGCACAATTGGCATCCAGATGTTGCGAAACTCAAATTTCAGTGGCGCCTCTGCTGTTGGCTTCCACGCAAGATGCAAGTTCATTTCGTCTATTGTTACAAGTTGAACGTCACAAGAATCAACGAAATGAAACAAGACTGAATGATTCCGCTTGCCCATTTCTACGAGTATTTATACAAAAGCCAAGAACCTTGTTATAACTCTTATAGCTTGACTGAACAATGCGATCAACTGTTTGTTAAAGTATCCTCTGTTTCAGAGTAACAATGTGATTCACGACACTGCCACGCTGCGTTAAACTCTCCGCGTCATAGCGTACCAGAAAGTGCTGAGAGAAAACAGAAAAAGAAAAAAACGAATTCGCGAATTCGTTGCTTAAAGACACGGTAAAGAGGGTGAAAGACGAAAAGGGAATGACGCGGCGACAAAAGCCGATAAGGGGGAGGCGGCGGTGTCGGTGACGACAAGAAGAAAAATTCGTGGCGTGGTGTGTCTGTAGGATTTCGCGTGGGTGGCGAGAGAGAACGGCGAAGCGAGGCCAGGCCGACACCGGGTATTGATTACGGAGCGGAGAGACCGCACCCTCTGCCACCCTCCGCCGGCCACAAGGGGTTGGCCAACCGCCGCCGCGACACACGCCGCATCGAGAGAGAAATCCTGCGCAGTCGTCGTCCCTGAATCTCTGCTCAGGCTCCGACCGATCAATTCCGGCCGTTCTCATCGAGATTTTCAACGTTTTCAAACGACAGGCTGCCGTCTCTTTGTCGACCCCTTGAATTAACTTTTTACAATTAACCGAGACTTCTTAATCCAGTTATTGAAATTTTTGTTTTTTGTTCTAGGAAGCTGAAATTTTCTAGGAATGAAACGAAGGTTTCTTGTTGATCCGGTTGTTGGCTGATGGATTGAAATTTGTTGTTTCACTTCTTTTTTTTCTTTATAAGAAGCTGAAATTTTCTATAAACGCACGTGAGAATTTGCGTGGCCCATAAAATGAAGGATGCACCATGTTTCATGGAAGAAAAGGGAAGCAACAGCTCTCTGAATCGAGGACGTCGGTCCAATCGGAGCATTGCTCTCCGTCTGTGCAGATAATGCCGGAGTACACTGCGCAACATCCCCTCTGGACCAACCCTCGACTACGCAAAATGGCGGAAATTCGACGTTTCCCTTCGTCGAAGTCTCCACGCAGAATAATTCTGAGAAAGCTTGAAAAAAATAGAACCAAACATCTGTGACACATGCAATCTACCAAACTCCATTGAACACGTATTAACAGCTTGTCCCACATAAAGAAGATAGAAGGAAACAACGCACAATCTTTACAAGCTCACTCAGAATTCTGCGAAAAGATCCTGGAAAAAATCTTAGACTCTCTGAAGGTTACGACCTCCTGTTATAAATCTACCATGGTCACTAATAACCCAAGAAACTGGATGTGACCATAAACGCTTAATTACAGGTAAATAAATGTAAAGCTTGAAAAAGATAGAGATTGATCCAATGCAAGGATCAATGATCTCTCGCCACTTCTATTTCATTTGTACTTGTAACATTTGGATCTCTGCTGAAAATGCGCTTTCAATTTCAGAAACGTTGTAACGCTGGAACATCCTGGTTTGGTCGACGAGCGCAACCTTGCAAGACCCCAACGAATCGGTCCGAAGCAAACAATTCCCTAGAACCACGTATACATAATTCGCAATTGACGTTTGTCGTATTAATAATTAATGTTCTCCCCTCTCGGTTGCTCGGTGTCCCATCTTCCTCCTCTCTTTCTGTCCTTTTTCCTCGTTTTCTCTTTGCCGATGCTGAAAAAACACGCATCGGTTACCAAGCGTCTTAGACCGACTGCGGCGTCGCATCGGCAGGGAAATGTAAATAGGAAACTCGAGGACGAAGAAAATGGAAATGGAAATGTATATAATAAGGCTGTGCCCATTTTTTCTTTTCGCAACATAACGCAAGGCTCGGCGCCAAATGGAAATTACTCTGAAACGTAAGGCTGCGTTTTTCAACTGACGCAAAGAAAGATTCTCTATGAGCAAGGTCCTCCTTGACGGATTAAGCCACGCACGTACGCTCTCTCTTCTCTCCTTTCCGTGGATCGTCGCGGTCCCCGTCCTTGGCCAGCCTTCGAGGGAACGCACTGTCTGTCGAGACCTCGCGACACCTCTACGAACGCTTGTTTAAACAATCAATCCATGGGCGTTCGCCGTGCTGGCATTTCATCCTTGCAAACCTGCACGTGCAACGCTATTGCGTTCCACAGCCTTGCACAGTCTACCAGCGAATTTCTAGTCTACAAGACACTGAACCAAAAAAGAATCGTTTCTATCCTTAAAAAAAAAAAGAAAAAAAAACGCAAGGATGAAATTATAAATTTGTAAATAAGTTTCGATTATCTCGGATAGATGTCGCGCTGGCTTCTTTGAATTTTATTCTTCGGTTTTAATTCTCGTAGACTGGCTTGTGCAACGACGTTGACGAATGTTCATCACGCATAGAACGCGTCTCTATAAAAAGACCAGACAGCGACGATTTAATCGGCCGATCACGTCTTCTTCGTAACTTTGTTGCAAGCAGCCGGAAGTCGGAGAGAAATTCCACCGAGGGGAGACTCGTTCACTAAGAATACCGTTCGAGCTACCTACCGTTCATTTTCCTATCGACCATTTTACACTTCTTACTCTGCTCAAAAAAGATTCAATTTCTCACCTTTCTCTCTCTCTCTCTCTCTCTCCAATTCGTACATCCAATGTTTGATCAATTGTGCAATATCTCGAAACGTGACGAACGTTGTACGTTCTGAAAAAATTTGTAGATATGAATGTTGAAAGGATGTAGAAATATTTAAAAAAAAAAGTGTGGATACAAATGATAAAAAGGTGTAAAAATATTTAAAAAAAAGAATGTATAAATATAAATAATAAAAAGGTGTAGAAATGTTTTAACATTTATTGTCGTTTTGCTGTTTCCAGTTTGGACCGGCCAAGGGAATTCCACGGTTAACCTGCTTTTCCAATTGAAAATGAGGTCAGCCCATAGTTAACAAGGTCCCACGGTGTTGGAGTGATTTGAGTCACGTTTCACGCCGCTTAACCATTTAAGCGCGGCTGCTGTCTTTACGGTCGGCTGAAATCGAGCGGATCTATGGAAAACGATGAGTTGGCTCGTGTCACGGGATGTACCATAGATGAGAAACGTCTAGGACGTTATGTCAACGCAGCGAGTGACCCTTGGTGACGTCAGCCTGCTAGTGGCCTCTGTGGACTAATATGGCCAGACCGGTCGGTCCCTCGGGGCCTGCTCGTGTAGGTAGCCTCGCAAATGCGACTACAGCCATGATGCTACAGCTCCTGTCAGTATATCATTATTATATCAACTGGATTTTCGATTGTCAACGATCGTCAGACGCTTCCACGATAAGGCCCATTTGTAGTATTTTTATACTACAATGTAGTATCTTTACACTACATTGACGAGCCGCATATGAATCGAGCAGAGAGCACCGTCTTGATGAATAGTATCGATAGTGTTCCATTATTGCTATTCGCTGGTGTGTAGTGGGTAATTTTGATTATAAGGAAATGCCGGATTGTAAAGAATATACAATCATACACTTGTACAATACGGTATTTATACAAAAAGCGCTGCAGTTCGTTCGACTGTAGTTGATTTAATTGTGATTTAATAACCTCGCCTGGGGTTTGGTGACTCTTTAACCTGCATAAAAAGATTTGTGGATGCTTCTCAGGAGAGGTAGTGTGATTGTATGGTTACTGGTGTGAGCAAGGAAACCTGCATATCTTTGGGCTCGTCTGTACTTTCGAGTGTTGTTTATAGTCTACAGATCCTTATTCCTTCTATCTGAGGATCTAGGATTTGCCAGGTCCTAGAAGGTCGGAGAATCCTCTGTATCTGTTTCATGATCGACCTCCAATGTGAATTTTATTGTATAATACTATCGACTTTCTTTACAGAATGTAATGAAAAGATATAGCTCATCTGTAATATAAATGTAGTTTCTTAAGAAGGAGCTATGATTTTACGTTTAAATCTGCTTTCAGGATACACGTCGAATTTAAGTTTCACATAAATTACAAAACTCACATTACACTTACGTTTCAGTTAAAGCTGTTGCTTACGAGACTATATATCTATTATTTTTGTTCGCATTATTTGGATGTCTACAGTTTATGTTTCAATGATAAATAGTAGAACAATTATTTCAAATCAGATTACCAGAAAGGCTCCAAGTTTTATTACATTTACATGCAATTTATATGACTGAATTTTAAATTTTAAATCTATTTCTTTTTTTTTTACCCACATTTTACAAACGATTTGCAATGATATTTCTTGAAAAATATTTTCTCATATTTAACAAGCAATCAAATGAAAAAAAGTTCCTCTTCTGTTCTTTCCTATCCAATTATTGAAACACAAGGTTGGTAATTGGTAATTTATCGACATGTAAAGTGGAATCTATAGATTCTGAAAATGCAATAAAAGAAAAAAGGATATTTTTCGAGAAATGAAAAGAATTTTCAACAATTCTTCGATTACACTCGACCTCGTTGGTTCTATTATACTTCCAAATTCAGATTCCTTCACCCGACGCCATGTTGGAATGCTCTCTACGAACGAAGTTACCACACAGAATCCAATGAGTCGGGGAAAATGCAAATGAATTTTTTCCACCGTTGATCACCCGACACATCGGTGCAAGTCAAACAAAACCAGTCCGGGCATAAATCAATAGCAATCTTCTAAAACCTGTTGCACTATTGCTTCCCGAGTATCGATTAACACGAGACCATATATCATTCGCTCGACTCGTTTGTCCCTCGTAAAAATACTATGCAAATACCAAGTTGCCTGCCTAACGTCGTACGACGCGTTGCCCCCGTTACAATTCCGGAACACGTTGCAAATCTGTTTTATCCACGATCGATCCACCTTACCCTATTGACTTACAATCCCTTCGGTAATTAAGTCGGTATTAGATATTCGTAACATCGTGTCAGATACATCTGACTATCTGCAATATCTGTTGTATCGAATTCATTATCGAACTACGTCCGTCCAGACAAGATTTAAATTATAGTAAGATCTAGCTGTAGTTGCGACGATTATATTAATTTGAAAGCAACTCACAACTCGCGGACCGCGGGAGTTTTGAAATTTTAAATTCTCTTTGTTTACGAAATTATATTTATTATATTATATATTATATTGTATTATCAATTACATTATTACAGTATTACTAAAAGTACGTGAAAATAGCACAGAAGGTACTATTTTAGTATCTATAACTCTTTCTTTGCTAAATATACTATTATATACATTTCTTTGCTATATATATATTTTTTTTAACAGAATGGAAGGATTTGTTTATTTATACAATGGAAGGAGAAAGATTCGGGAGAAAGAAATTATTTCGGTTCATGAATCTCTCACTGACTGTTTAGAAATGTATTTCTTTAAATAGTATTTGCATGTTGAAATTAACTTGATTAAAAATACATGAAAATAGCATAGTATCTATATTTCCCTTTTTACAATTTTTTTTTTATTTAGCATTTGTTTACGCGATGGGGGAGAGAAATTACTATACTAATAAAAATCTAAATTAAGCATTCGTTCATTGTCTGTAATAGCGGTAATAACATGAATATTTTATGTGAAATGGAATAGATGGTCAACAAGAAACGAGAGTTCCTCATGGAACATTAATTTACGTCCGACGTAAATAATTCGTGGAACGCGTAATATCAGTGGATCATGGAGAAACGAACGGGATCATTAACGAGTTCGGTTTTGATTCGACAGAGGGAAGGTCTGTAATGGTGGATAATGGCGTACTAAGTCGACAAACTGTTACTTAGACCGTTACTAATTAATAACACATTGACTTATCGATCGGTTAATCGATTCCGTGGAAATGTTTACTGGAATTGTTCTTATATTTTCGTCACAGTTGACCGAAAGAAATTTATATTACCTCGTAGTCGTGAACTGTGAAACTTCTCTGGAATTTCTATTTCAAGGCGTGTTATAGACAAGATATCTCGCGTCGCAAAATCGTTCGTCGTGTACAACCCAACTCAGAAAACCTCAAATACTATATTTGTTTAGTGAAAATAATAAAATAATAAATATAGATTAGAAATTATATGCAATAAATACAATACATGCAATGTAATTAAATACAATAAGTATTAAAACATACTTTATAGAATAAAGACTGTTAATAAATTATATTATAAATATATTAATAAATTATATTATATTATACGTTTATTATGCTACTTAAATTAAACTAAATAGATTTATTTGTATTTAATTTTAAATTAAAGTTGAATACAATACATACTGTATAATCACATATGTACCTACCTACTTTATACTTAACTATACTCAGTATATTTACCTTATTATACTTCACTAATTGTAAGTTCATTATACTTAATAAAGTATTATACTTTATTATACTTTACTATACTTACCATATTTATCCTATTATACTTTATTATATTACATTAACATATTAGTATATTATTATTGTATGTGCATTACGTTACACTGTATTATAAAATACGTACACACAATAATCCACGATAAATACTGAATATTAAAATATTCCTGTATATTAAAACTTTCGAGCGGGAGTAAAATATCCGTGTCGTAAAATATTCACGAGGTGCTACGAACGAGACACGTTGTCCATAACCACGAAGAGATTAAGATCCCTCGTATTAATAAATACTCAAATTAATTAATTCGCATGTACATAAAGAAACGTGCGAATTATTTCATCACAAATCACAAATGACATCGAGATACCGCAGGAACGATTTTGCGACGCGAGAGATATTTCTATCATTCACAAAAATGAACGAATTGCATACGCAAGATTCTCCGTTGTACGAAACAGAGAAGAGTAAGAATATTCCCTAGCTTTGTTTCTTGCTCCCTGCCCCCCTTCGCCGGCCAATTTTAAGGTTGGCAAAGCTTTCCACCGTTTTATCAGGGCCGTCAATACGTTACAGCGGCTAGCCAAAGAAAGATAGGGTGTTTACGTGGTGTTACGCGACGAACCGTGACAACCCGGCGCTGCTTCGATTGGCAAACACTCGGCTTGATAACCTCTCAACGAGTCGGCCCCGCGATCCGAACTGGGAGTCTATGTTCGTGCCTGCGACGTATGTATTTATAAACCTGATTCACATGTCCAGCCGTCTCGCGACATCGAATCCTTGAATCGCGCGGATCGCGGTGCCGGTTGCTATGCCGGAATGACGATCGTCCACAACTGGAATCTGTTTCTTCGTTGACATAGTTAGACTTTGCTACGATTTAACATGATACGATTCTCAATTCATTTTTTTCTCCCTTTTTTTTTTTCTTTTGTTTTAAGATCCTTCAAAATCTGCATCGTGGAAAGTAATGCGATTCCACGTTATACGTCGAACGAGAAGTGTCAGATCTAGGTTTCGACGAATCTAAATACGCAACATGCTCAGCCTAATCTACGATAACCCTGGATAAAACCAACCATGGATAAATCACACGAGTCTCTGTTGCACAACTGACAATCAGTTCGCTCGACGGCTCGTATTTCGGACAAAGATCTCGAACTTGAGAGTAGAGCAGACAAAAGGTTATCAATGGACGAACTGGTCCGAGTGGAATCGAGGTCCGCTCGAGTTTCGTCAGGCGACCGGAAGGGGTCAGTTCGACTACGACTAGTCCCCCCACCCTGATCCTATAGGAAATCACCTATTGTCACCTCACCGACGAGCGACTAATGGGATGCCGGACCAGAGGGAAAAACATCACGACGCTGCCGTCGCCATTAACTGCGATTTGAAAGTAAGAAGTGTACGAGCAGAACGGAAGCAAGTGGCCGCCCGGCTGCCGATGAATATGTAGGTTGGCCCCCCCCCGACCTCGTGCCTCCGTGTGCGTGTTGTGTACACGGCCAGTCTCTGTTCTGCGTTCACGCACAAGGATGATCCGTCGATAACGAGGCTCTCGATTAACCTTTTATCTCGCCTGGTCATCGTAATATTCCGCGCACGAGGTCCTCTTTTATGCGAAAAACGGAATTTAATGGGACGATACTCCCTCTCCCCCGGGTTTAATTGCTGGCGAAATTATAGGTGTTCTTGCTGCGTGTGGTTTGTCCGGACAAAACGGCGGGGCAGTGAAAGAGGGAGAGGGGGAAATAAAGGTGGCTGCACCGCGCGATCTTGAACCGGCGAGCGGCTTAACCTCTTACGCTGGAATGACTTGCCACGCTTGTCAAGAATTTTTTGTCCCCAAAATTGCAATATTTTCTTAGTTTTAAGTATAACCCAGGCAAAACAAGTAATAAATTTATTAATCAATAATTTATATCCAGTCATATTATACCGACGAGTTCAAAAAGAAAGCGACGAATTATTGTGTACGGTTTGGTCACTCGTTATGGTCCGCAATCGGTTGCCAGCGCAACTGGTTAACCTCTTGTGCTGGAATGACGTGCCACTCTCGTCAAGAATTTTTTGTCCCCAAAATTGCAATATTTTCTCAGTTTTTCAAGTGTATTTAAGAATAACCTAGGCAAAACAAGTAATAAATTTATTACTTCTCAATAATTTCTATCCAGTGACATCATACCGACGAGTTCAAAAGAAAAGCGACGAATTATCGTGTACGGTTTGGTCACTCGTTATGGTCCGCAATCAGTTGCCAGCTCCAATGTATATTAAATAATAGTATACTACACGGTAATGTATATTAAATAAATTAAAACTTCAGTTGCTGAAGTGAAGTTTCATAAAATGCCACGAAACTTCGACTTTCAAGCGACGAGATGACCCTACATGAAATCTACGCGTTACATAACCTAAACTCGATTCTACTCGAATCAAAATTATCCGAGTTTACCAGAACGCCATGTTCCCATTAACGCAACATTCGAGTGCCAAATTGATCCATATATTCGATGTATCATCGAACGAACAGATCGCACACGTACTCTCGTGCAGGGGAGAAGATTCTCGTGCGAATTTACGCGCGCATTCCTTTGGCAGATTTACGCCCACGGAGGAGTGTCGTTCGCGGACGCCACTGCGCCAGGCGAAAGCCGCAGCACGGTTTATTTTCGCTGTGAAGAAGTTTAAAGTTAGACAACCAGGAGAACGTGCGCTCCTAACGCTGTCGCGCTGTTGCATCCAAGTAGATTGCCGGCCAACGGTTAACTTAACAATAACTACACGACAATTCAATTTACGGTCATTCTAAGAACGTATGTTTTGCATGTACGTGTACGTAAAAAAAAAAAAAAAAAGAAAAGAAAAAAGAAATTGCCATTCCTTATTTTTTCACGAAGGGAATTTCGGCAACTGAAAATTTCGGAAAATTTGAAACTTGCGCAGATGTTATTTACGTGATGATAATAATGGAACAGTTTTTTTTTTTTTTTAATAATGGAACAATGTCGCAACAATTATGTTTGAAAACCGGTGTAGATAGCTGCAGAAAAAGGAACTTGATTAAAAGTTGTATCGTTGTGAAGTATGAATCTTTTTCTTATTTTTTTTTTTTCGAGAGTTTTCACCACTGTAATAT